TTTCAAAGAAAAAGGAGGCAATGGGTAACCTTCTTGACCCTCTGAGACATTTGCTGCTGGGTACACCTTGGCAGAAGTGGTGAATGCTGTGCCAGTCAAACTGTCTCTGAAGTATGTGGAAGACATCTCCAAAATAAAAATAAAAAAAAAGCCAAAGAAAAGCCAAAATGCACTCACGAGTGGAAACTACAATGAGAACAAGATTATATAGTTAGGGACTCCAATCACAGACATGTAATACATTTTCTACAAACAAGACCAACCTCCACCAAACGACTTCTGTGAAGCATGTGACGTGTGGCTGGATTGTAGAAAGGGTTCTGTCAGTCGTCATCTGTACCTGTGGGTAAAAAACAAAAAAACAAAAAAGGACGTTTCGCTTCTCTGTGGCTGGATGTAAATGTGATTTGTGCTGCGATACTGCCCTCTCGTGCATTAACGTTGTAATTGCAGTAGTTCTGCAATTTTTCTTTGTAATTTTGGTTATGTGACACGGCACGAGTTCTTTCCGCCATCTGCTGGTGACAGTACAACCACTTGCATTTGAAAACCATGAGATGCTGGCATACATGTAAAGTTGGGTGATCACACCATACGTGGAACGTCCAGCATCATCCAGCCATTCATTTTTCTGCTGCGCTGATCCTCATTAGGGTCTCGAATGTGATGCCTGTCCCAGCCGACTTGGCAAGAGTCGCAGGGCACCCCCAAGATGAGTCACCAACTAATTACATAGCACATCCAACCATCCATCCATCCATCCATCTACTGCACATGTCCTCAGTGTTAGAGGTGTGTTGGGCTCTATACTAGCTTACTTTGGCAAGAGAAGAGGGGTAAACCCCGACTACCGTAGCTTGCCAGTGATTCCATCCATTCATTTTCTTTAGTGCTTACACTAATTTAGTGTGAGCTGGAGCCTGTCAAAGCTATTCGGCGAGAGAAGCGGGATCCACTCTGCATTGGTCCTCAAATAATCACAGGGCACATCAATCAGTTTTCTCCAGAGCTTGTCCTCACTTAGGTTGTGGGTGAGCTGGAGTCTATTACAGCTGGTTTTGGTGGGATAAGCGGAATCCAATCTGGCCTGGTCGACAGTAAATCACACGGAACATCTTTCTATTTAATTTCTATAGCACAATCCTTATTCGTGTCACAGGGGAGCTCGAGCCTAACCCAGGTGATATTGGTGAGAGAAGCGGAATCCACTCTGCAGTGGTCAGTAATAAATCACAGGGAACATCCATGCACCCATTTTCTTGAGCGCCTGTCCTAAGCAGAGTCGTGGGTGATCCACACAAGAAATGTTTGACAGGAAGGGCCTGTATCAAGATTTGACCCAAGAACCGCTTGACTGCAGTGCAGTCGTGTTAACCACTAGGGCACCGTGCCGCCACATCTGTGGAGGTGTTCGCAAACACGAGGGAGCATACACACTCCAAACAGAAAGGGCCTGAGCTGAAATTCATATCCAGAATTCATGGCAGACATGCTAACAGCTGCTAATGCTAAATTTTACTGAACAAAGTGCATTGAGTAGTGACTCATGTGACTCAAACATAAATATTTGTACTTTTGGGTTTGCTTTTGACAGCTGTGTTATGCATTTTGTCAGCACAACAAACAAAAATTAACATTACATTTCCAGCTTCTGCAAACACACGAGGTTAAGTTGACAGTGGGCACAATCATTTTCAATGCTGCAACTTTTAGGATTTGTTTTGTCCAGTCTCCTGAGTGAACTTTGGATTCATGGAGTTGATGTGTAACTTTCGAAATATGCGGACATGCCTTTTTGGGGCATGATTCAGCATGGTGCATTAAAGGAGACATTAAAAACATAATTTGCATTTTTTCTTAAGGAAGCAGCCATGGAATCATGATTATCACTTGCTGTACTAGATCCGCACGTGGTCAATGCAGCAGACACATCGACAAACATTAATATGTTTCAAGTGTATGGATTTCATTACCATGACGACCAGGCGGTGAGCTTGGGTATTGCGGCTCCTTGATAATCTAGCCAACAAACTGTAAAATGTGATATAGATCCATTGCTGGTGTTATGTTCCAGACTACCCCCGCAATAATTGAAATCCACTGTAGGGTGGCAACCAGTTCTGGGTGCACCCCACCTACTGCCAGAAGACTGCTGGGATAGGCTCCAGAACGCCCGGGACCCTCATGAGGATAAGCGGCTTTGAAAATGGATATAGAGATGCTCTATTCAAATACGCCTGTTTTCATCGCATTTAAAAAAAATAATAAAACAAACACATTTAATCACATTATATATTGAGAAAGATCAAGAGCAATGAATACAACAAACAACACACCTAACACTCGATGTGTTTACAATAAACCCTTGTGAGGATAAGTGGTTCGGATAATGGATAGATGGATGGAAATCACATCCTGTCATACCCCAAAATATACTTTGCATAATGAACCAAAAGCTATTACTTTCTGTCGCCGTAAAAAGCAGGATTGAAGAGGACTTGACAATCAATCATCTTCAGCAAACAATGAGCTGATCTAAAATCCTTTCACTTTTCATTTTTCTTCTTTCAAAGTGGTAGTCTCAAACAAAATAGTATGCCACCATTGTGTGGAATTACACTCAAAATATAAGTTGTAAATTGTACAAAAAAATAAAAAAATACACAAAATAAGGCTACTTTGTGTATTGCGAGCCCAGAGCCTGCGAATGAGGGGCAAGCAATGCAGTTACATAGAGTAACATATATTATTGATGTGATACATAACATTAAATCTTAGCACATTCTGAATAAAAGGTCCTTAACAGGCTAAAAATATATATGCAGTGATCAGATATGGTATCCCTATCTGACTTTTTAAACAACGATATTGGGACGAATCCCACGACCAAAAGTAGCAAAAGTCGTGTGGACTTTGGGAAGGAACAGGTTCATAAAATCGCTGGAATGGATCTTGCAGGCGGTGGTATGCACAGTGAGCAAATAGCTGATCTCGGGTGTAGCCTTGCCACTGAGTGTTTTATAGATAAACACGAACCAGTGAATTGGTCTGAGTGAGTGAAGAGAGGGGCGGTATTATGCAAATATGGCAGACTGATATGTCACAATCAGGTACAATTGCTCAGTCACGTTTTCAGAAAGGAAGCTCACCAAACTATCTTTCTGTCAATGTGGCATTCAAGAGAGCCAATTAATTGCATACAAGCAAGTCAAAAGTCAATTTCCATCATACAGTCTCTCCTTTACTACCCACATTGATTTGTTAATGTGTATTCCTGTCGGTTTCTACGTGTGGTCTGTGAGGAGAGAGAGAGAGAGAGA